TGTTTTTTGTACCTGCCCTGGATGGGGAGCCAGATAGTACATGGAGATAATCCTGTGTGAGACCAGGTTTGATGTGGTGCTTGCTCTGCAGGCTGCTTGACTTCTTGCCTGTTGCTCCTTGGTGGTGATTATTGGTAGTTTTGCTGCTTGGGAGAGACTGTGACTGAAAACTGCAGCTTTCTGAAAATCAAAGGAGCCTCTTAGAGGTGTAATGTGTCAGTGCAGGACAAGAGTGCTGGCTGAGTTTTGATGAGTGGCAAATCCTAGTACAATTCTTCCATAGGAAGAGAATTTTCTGTAGCCTGAAAAAACACTCTGGGGGTTTGGGTGGGTGTCTTTCAAACCTGTTGCTCTGAAGCAAGTTGGGGGTCTACTGAAGCATAGTAGAACATCATTGGTGTGCTACCTAGTGCAGTGGCTCAGCTTGCACTTCAGCCAGGTTTACATACTTTGGAGGGCAAAGCCCTTCCTTTATAATTTCACTCAATTTCACTTCTGTCTCTTCCCAGTACTTGGCTCCTGAGGTGCTGAAGAAGCAGCCGTATGACAGGACAGTTGACTGGTGGTGCCTGGGAGCTGTCCTCTATGAGATGCTCTTTGGTCTGGTAAGTTGGGAAGCTGTCTGTGGAGAACTTATTTTCAGAAGTTGTGCTGTGAGGTTGGTCTGGTGTCCATAGGATACCTGGCACGGGCAACTGAATCCTGACTTAGATGACCTGGTTCAGTAATAACATTGCCCTTTTGAACAGACAGAAGGCAGGTCTCCCTCATCTATTACACTTAAGATTCTATGATCTCCTCACTGTAGGACTCATTTTGACCTGTGGTGTGTGGTTCCTTATGGGAGCTTATGTTTCACTTGGCTGCTTCTCTTTTGAATTAGCCTCCTTTTTATAGCCGGGATGTATCTCAGATGTATGACAACATCCTGCACAAGCCACTCCAGATCCAAGGGACCAAGACTGTGGCAGCTTGTGACATCCTCCAGGGACTTCTCCACAAGGACCAGAAGAGCAGGCTGGGTGCCAAGACAGACTTTGTAGGTTGCCTCTACTAGGATCAGGAGGGAGGATGGATGGGAGAGCTTTTTATTCTGAGCCTTTCTCTCATGATAACAGCTCTGCCTTGGAAAAAAAGCTTTCTATGCATGCTGGTGCCTCTCCAGCTCCCTGAAAGGGCCATAGGGGTTTGACTTGGATTTCCAAATAGAAACATACAATTCAAGGTGTGGTGGCAAGCTAGGACACCAATGTGTGATGGTGTCATCTCCCTTCAAGGGACTGCTGGACTTTGAGCCTCGTGTATTATGTTACGTGAGCCCCACCTGGGTATGTGGTAGCTCCAAGTCTTGCTTTAACCACTTAATGCTATGAAACCAGCTGGCAGGTGCTGGAAAAGGAGGGTTGGCAAAAGACTGACTCTGTCCCCTCAACTTTCTATGCAGCTTGAGATAAAGAACCATGTGTTCTTCAGCCCAATAAACTGGGATGACTTGTACCACAAGAGGATTACTCCTCCATTTAACCCCAATGTGGTAAGTGGGTATTTCTGTTGGCATCTGTTACATAGTGGTACAAAAATAATCCTCTCCTGATGTCTTCTGCTGACAGTGAGGGATGCCTAAGTAGGAACTGCAAATGCAGTGGAGATAACACTTTTGGAAGAGCTGTTAGACTGTCTGAACACAAGTGGCTGGTTGGGGTCTGCTCACTCAATGATCATGTGCCTCTCTGCTCCTTGGCTTAGGCTGGTCCAGCTGATCTGAGACACTTTGATCCCGAGTTCACCCAAGAAGCCATCTCTGCCTCCATCACTCACACGCCTGACCTAGCAGCCAGCAGCTCCAGTGCCTCAGATGCATTTTTAGGATTTTCCTATGCACCAACTGAAGAGGACATCTAGGTTTTATAAAGGCTTTGAGAAGCCAGGTTTTTAACTGAATGTGGTTTTTTATGTTTGCTCCTTCCTTTTTTTTGTATAAAAGTTTGGTACTGTTCTTTGTTCATGGTTTAAGGAAATTGGGACTAAAACACTAACTGGCTGGGGTTGAACAGGCCTCTTTACATTTGCTGTTTGTATTTCCTTCTACATGACTTTCCCTGGCAGGGAAAGTAGGACATTATTATGTTCCCCCCAAGTGTTTAGTGCTACTTGGCAGAATTGTATTCACTCTGGTGAATGTATGGTTGAGGTACACACCACCCTTCACATTAACAGACACATCTCTCTAACTGGCCACTTGATTTTAATTTTTTTTGGTGGAGCTAAGTCTGTCCAGCTTTGCCCTTATCTCCAATAGAGAGGGAAGCTGTCCACATTACCATGAAGAGTGGTGATTTTCTTTAAGTTGCCTGTGCCATTTAAGCCACTCATTGAGGACTGAGCTGGGCCTGGGAACTGTTCATCAGTTACTGCTCCAAAGGCAGGTCTAAATCCTGAACTCCACCCTGGCCTTTCCTTCCAGCTAGTGCCTCCCCAAGAGGAGTGGATCACCTCTCTGGTTCAGCATTGGGATGCTGCTGAAGCAACAAGGAGGCTGCTATGGAGAAGCCAGCACCTGTGGGAGGCAACTCTGGATAAAAATGGGAGGGTAATAGACTGAGCAGCTTGGCAAAATAAAAATAACCTTATGGCCAAACCTGGCTTGAGGTGGGGGATGTTTTCACAGCACGTGCTTGACTTGGCTGGGCACACAGCACTGTTTTGAGGAGCGGGATGGGGCAGCGAGGGGAGGGAGAGCAGCAGCCCCCTGCCTGGAAACACCCCTCCCTGCTGTGCAGGTTATTTATTCTGCCTTAATTGAAATGCTGGCACACTGATCGAATGTCACTTCCTGCTTTGCTGTGTTTAGTTTGTCGTTCTGTTGCTGTGAGGAGGCAAAAAGGGGCCAAGAGCTTCTAACTGCACCACGGGGATAAACGGGGGTGGGTGGGTTCTAAAAGCCGTGTGATGCTCACGCTGAACAGTTGGGTTTTTATCAAACTTTACCTTGTACGTGCTGAAATAATCGGGAATACGAGGTGGTTTTTATTAAAGTGCATACACTGAGGTGCTGCATCTCTGGCCTGGGAGGGGGGTGGGAGGGGGGTT